CTCAGCCTTCCATCCTTCCGAGGTGGGTAAAATGAGGACCCAGATTGTTGGGGGCAATATGCTGACTCTCTGTAAACCGCTTAGAGAGGCCTGAAAGGCCTATGAAGCGGTATATAAGTCTAAGTCTACTGCTATTACATATCTCTGCTTATTTCAATTGAATCAATTAAAGAGGGTAGAGCCCAGTCACAATTTTGGGGAATCAAAATTATTTTCCCTGAAACTAATTCTTGAAGCGGATTTGTTGCCTGATAGGGTTTGTCTCTTCCATTAGCATTTGTGTGTGTGAATAGTTCTATAAGAAAATAATGAATTTATTCCATCTCACCTAGAGGTGATTCTAGGTGGATTACAACCAAATAAACTGATAAAACATTAAACACGAGAAAATAAAATAATAAATATTAATAACTAATGCTGTGCCAGAATCTGTACGTGTAGTCCTTGATTTACAATCATTTGTTTAGTGACTGCTTGAAGTTACAATAGCACTGAAAAAAGTGACTTATGACCACTTTCACACTTTGCAGCAGCCCATGGTCATAGGATAAAAATTTAGACGCAATTGGCATGCATTTATGACGGCTGCAGAGTCCCAGGGTCATGTAATCACCTTGTGTGATCTTCTGACAAGCAAAGTTAATGGGGAATCCAGATTCAATTAACAACTGTGTTACTTTACAATTGCAGTGATTCACTTAACAACTGTGGCAAGAAAGGTTGCAAAATGAAACAAAACTCACTTAACAACTGCCTCGCTTAGCAATGTAAATTTTGGGCGCAATTGTGGTCATAAGTCCAGGACTTATGTACTCTATTGTAATTGCTTAGGTTTCTTTTCCCATGAATTAGGCTTCTGTTTTTCTATCTTATTTTCAAGGTGCTTGAGAATTTCTTTTGAATTTCTCAAGATAGTGTTTTGCTGAGTTTTGGAAGAGGCAGTAATGTTATTGCGGGCTTTATTTTCTATTATTCCTCTTGCTACCATTTTAAGGTCTCCCTCACTGCCCAGATTTCCCAGTCTTAAAAAGACACGTGGAAGGTGTTCCCTCATGAAATTTTCCTAGAGGGTTTCAAAGAAAAGGAAAATGGGAAGCCAGTGGGATGGCTCCTATTAGTTGACTTTCTCATAACCAAGTTCAAGAACACCCTAATTCACGCCGAAAATGTCATCAAAATGTGCAATTTCTCTGTAATAAATCCAATGAAATTTTGTTTCATCAAAGTAAATAGGAGCTGGTACCAAAAAAAACCTCAAGATAATTTTCCTGCACTATGCTAAAAATAACTGCTATTCAAATCATGACAGATGATTATTAGTGTTCTGACCTAGGCTTCCTGATACAGTAAAAAGCACAAGCTTAGTCCCAAAAAACCCTCTTTTTATTTCAAAGGCTGTGAATTATGTTCATTCACAGACTGTAATGAGTCCCAAACAGTTGTAATGCATCCTACTGTAGGCTGCCAAAGACCTTAGGCTGATAAGCATCCATCTTTATCTTCTTTGAAAGACTTAAATGGCAATTAGCTTGGCAAGGCCACAAGGAGCAATGAGTCAGAACGGAGCTTCAGAATGTAAACTGACCAGCATGAACCAAGTTGCTTCCTGCAAAGGCTCACGTGCCTTTGCTCCTCTATTATGTCCTATAGGAGGGGAAAATCCAAACCTTACTCCTGAGTCGAGCCTTCTATCTTAACTGATCTTGCCTTCTGACAGCTCTGTGCATGGGCGCACTGGGAACAGGGGGAGTCTGTTCCTCTGCCTCGCTGCTGTCTGACTCTGGAGGCTCCGGAGGCAGCACATAACTCCCAGATGGCCCTGGCCCCCTCTCTGCCTCTGATGCAAAGCCCTCGTCCAAGCCTTCCAAGACCGGGCCATGTTCCTCCCCAACCTCCTCGCTGTCTGACTCTGCTGCCAGCTTCGCAGGCGGACCACAACATTTAGACCAGAGTTCAATGTTTTTCAGTTCAAGGGGAAATTACTTATTTCTAATTCAATCTGACACAAAAGGTGGGGTGAGGGAAGAATTCACCCCTTTCTAGCCTTACCAAATCACTACTTTTAAATGTCTTCCCAAAGGAATTGTTAACAAGCCATACTTTTCATATGGCCATCACCCTTTCAGTGGGGCAATAAGAAGGTGATTGAGCCCAGAGAAAGAATAAAACTGATCAGACTTACCAGGTTGCTGAAACATAAGCATGGTCTGAGGAGAGGTGTGGACGGGCAGTGAACGGGTCCTCTGTACAGAACTATGGCTTCGGCTGGGCATACTGTTACTTCCTCCTGGATTTGCAAACCAAAGATTCTATGGAGGGACAACAGAACATGCGTTGTTAAAATAAGGCAAGCAATGAATGCAGAAAGGCAAGGGACCCTAGCAACATTATAATCCCTACAGAATTACCATATTTTTTGGAGTATAAAACGCACCTCCCCCCCCCCAAAGAGGGTGGAAATCTGGGTGCGTCTTATACACTGAATACAACATTTTTGGCCCCCTGATACCCCACCCCCTTCACAAAAATGGATGTGCAGAGGGTTTGGGAGGCCTGCAAAATGGTCTTGGGGGCTGGGGAGGGCAAAAATGAGCGAAAAAGGGCCATTTTTTGCTTGTTTTTGCCCCCCCCCCCAGCTCCCAGGAGCACTCTACAAGCCTCTTAAAGGCGAAAGAGAGGCCTGCAGAGTGCAAAAAACCTTTTTTAAATTGACCTCTTCAAAATCTTGGTGCGTCTGATACTCTGAAAAATACAGTATACCAGAAGGCCAATTTGCTAGTGTGCCAGATTTCACCAGAAAAGGGACAATTGCCCTGCTTTTGGAAAGGGGGCAGCAAAACAGTTCATTTCAGGAACTCTTCTGTCCTTCTGTAATTCGGTGGAACCTCCCCCAACCCACTTGAAATGCATCTTCACATACAGTAGGCCTCAACTTACAACCACTTACTACCTGTATGGGCAAATGTATCTGAAATAGGTTAGAAGAGGCTTGAAATTTGAAGCAGGTTGGAGGGCTGTTTGAAATTACAACGCCACTGAAAAAAGTAATTTGCCTCACACTTAATGACTGTTGCAGTATCAGCACAATAACACAATCAAAATCTGGGCATTTGACAACTGCCATATATTTATGGATGCAGCATCCTGGGTCATGCGATCACCATTTCCCATCTGGGAACAGCAGTTTCCAACAAGCCAAATCAAAGGAAGAAGCCAGACTCACTTAATGACTGCCTGGCCCACTTAATGACTGCCTGACCCACTTAACAACTGTAGTGATTCATTTAGTGACCATGACAAGAAAGTTGGGCATGACTCACTAACAACCGCCTTCATCAGCAGTGGAAAGCCTACTCCCAACTGTGGTCTCATTGATCAAGGACTACCTGTAATTGATTTTATCATATCTGACTAAAGAACAATTTCAATGATAACTGGCTGGACCACACTGAAGGGCCATGAGTGCTGCTGCCATTGGCCATTGACTTCATTCTCTAGCAAGACGTCTCTTTTACCTTTTGAGCCTGGGGCAAAAATAGACAGAGGAAGTTGGGACATTGGATCACTTCCATTCTACTTACATTCTCCTTGATTGTTTCCCTAGACTTTGGCTTCAGAGTCTCTTGTTGGATGTGTTTTTGTCTTATGTTTCTGCATAAAAGCAAACTGGATCTTGTTTTGTGTTTTAACGGTTATTTTTTCCAGCATTTTCCCAGGTATTTGTGTTGCAGGGGTGGGTTCTGGATTATTTTACTGCCGGTTTGCTCAGGGATGTGCTTCGGGCATGCGCAGAAGCAAAAAACAAGATGGCGCTGCCTACAGCGCCGCCAATAGAACCGGTTCAGATGTGTGGATGTTACTACCTATTTGGCCGAACTGAACCCACCTCTGTTGTGTTGGGCTGATTGATCTGTAGTTTCCTGGGTCTGTTCCCCCCCACCCTTTTTTTGAAGATGAGAACTCTTCAAATTCACCAAACTTGCAACCATAAGTCACATAATTGCTTGCGTTTGTCCTATACAGTCTCTGTTTAAACAACCAAATGCTCTTTTGCTTTTTGAACAGGCCAGACTAAGAACTTCACTAATGGCCCCTCTCTCTCCTGCACTCAAAGCATTTTATTTTTCCTCCCTCGGCAACACTCATCCCCTTTACAGGACCTCTTTACAGCACTGAAAACAGTGAAAACAGGAAATGCCTGCAGACTATTTTGGCCAGTGCAATCTCTTTCATTTTTCGTTTGCTAAACTGAAAATTCAATGTAAGCGTTCGATTAAACTGGAAACAGAGTAACAAAGGACCTTTAGGTGGATGATAAATACTTTTTTTTCCCATAAAAGAGAAAAAATTACGTAACTCTGAATCATACACATGTACAAGTGGCCTTGTAATTTTAGATCAGCTTTTCCTCCAATGGACAAATGCACATGTCCAAGGATTATAGTATAATGCCCAAGATTCCCGCATAGATCCTAGGAGAGTGATGGAGAACCTTTTTGGCACTGAGTGCCCAAACCAGAATGCGCGTGCATGCATATGCATATTGGGCACTATCTAACAAAATGAAATTCAATGGTGAAAAGAGTAAGATTCTACATTTAGGAAACAAAAACGAAATGCACAGGTACAGTATAGGTGGTACCTTGCTGAACAGTAGTAACTGTGAAGGGATCTTGGAGTCCTAGTGGACAACCATTTAAATATGAGCCAGCAGTGTGCAGCAGCTGCCTTAAAACCAACAC